TGGTCTCAGTACTAAAGCCGCATTACACTTAAATATATAAAAATAGAACCTATCCAATAAAATCAAAACCTGTCTATACGCCTTCTATAGTCTTGCTAGTCTCTACGTCAATTCTGCATTTGGAAAAATGTTCTGTTTATTTCATGTATTGATATGTGGCTGACATAATAGGCAGGGCTGTCCAGAGTAGATAGAACCATTTGTATGAACCTGTGCCTGTGCCTGGAGAAGCTTACAATCGAAAGTTCCTTTCACATTCACCCTACATTCAGTTTGCTCAGAGGTTGATTGACCAATCACTTTTCTTTGAATGGCGAGAAAAGCAAAGACTACAAATTCCATGAAGCTAATGCCCTAGTGGAAGCGGAACAAAAGTGCCCTGTGCTGCATGACCACAGTGTTGGCCACTGTATCACTATGCTGCCACTAAAAACTGATCTATGGGACAAACATTAGCTTGTGAAAATAATTATGGATCCTGCCAATAACTATAGAGAGAGGCCACTCGGTAAAATTTTACAAGGCAGTGTCACTCGACTTGTTTACCTAGGGACTGGCCAAAAAAAACTTTTTTTCATTAAAGTGACACTAAACGCAGGATTTCAATCTTAGAATTACATTCAAGTACCTTAACTATTAACTAATATGTAGCTTATTTGTGTATCACTCAGCTGTAGATCCTGAAATCATCTCTGAATTGGTGCTGACACTGTCCTTCCTTCTGGAGGGGGTCTACTTGTGTTCCCCATGGTCCCTGTGTGTGTTGTAAAGTAGCCACCGCTCCAAGCTCACTCCAATGATGGACTACAATCTCAATACAAATTAGTAAACTAAATGTGAGATTGTAGTCTATCACAGGAGTGATCTTGGAGCAGTGGCTACTTTACAGCACAGAAAGACCTTGGGGAACAAAAGTAGCCTCCCTCCAGAAGGAAGGACAGTGTCAGCACCAATTCAGAAATTATTTGAGGTTCTACTGCCGTGTGTTAAACAGATAAGCTACATTTTTGGTAATAGTTAGGGTACTTGAATGCATTTTTAAGGTTTAACTCCTGAGTTTAGTGTCACTTCAGTTCTAATTGTATAACAATACATAGCACACAGTATCTAAGTTTACAGTACAAAGACCAAGGTTGACTTTATATTTTAACTTAAGTGTAACTACAGGGAGCTACAGAGACTTCCAGTATGGCAGGGCCAATTGTGATAAGGCCAAACATAATAGCTATCCTGCCTTACCACCCATGTGTCAGAGTATTCTGTAAAGAACTGATACTTTGCTGTTGTGACTTCTTTTTTGTTCTGTTAACATGACTGGCTGAGTCCCAACATGCTTATTTCCTCAATCACTGTGAAAATAGCAATGTAAGTGTATGGTGTGTTTTCATCAACCGAAAGGAATAGGGAAAAAAACGGAAGGTTGTCTTTGAAGCTAATATGGTGTTTTCTTCCAGCTAAAGCAATTGCATACACACGAGCACAGAATACCATTGTAGCCAGCTAGTGGAAAAGCTAACAACTGACTGCTGGTCTATAATTGTACCATTACTAGGGCTGTCAATGAATGGCCATGATTGCTCATGTCAATGAATGCTTGCTCCTTAAAAGATTCTGTTGAAATCTAGGTTTGACAGATTCCTGCACTTCCTCCACCCCTGGCCTGGATGTAAAAATATGCTGGCAGAAAAGGTAATGTCCTTGTTTTGCATTTAGAGGCGTTTCCACTTGGCACACAATACAATCAAATTAACTAATCTGGCCAACCCCATCAAATGTTCTGAAGAAAATGAGGAGGGGGGTGCATGTAGAGGATCACACAAAACACAAAGACATTAAGCAAAGAGAAACTGCTGGGGGCACCGGACAATGTCAACTATGGGACAAATGACAATCTCTGGGAGGGAAGAACAGACAGAGAGAAGGACAAGCACTATCGTCATAAAGTGTGGAGGAAAAACAAAGCGTGAAATAAGTATTTGTGAGTAAGTAAAGATGCTTGAGATGTAAAAATTATACTAGTGGGTTAATGGGCCCTAAAATAACATATGACTTGATGATGATTACGGGATAATTTCTTTCAATTTTTTGGGAACTATTTTTATCATTATTACTATTATGGGGCCTTTAAAGACAGGAATCACAAGAAGGTTCAAATCACAGGATCACCTTCAACCTCCAACCCTAGTAGCAAATCTGGATAAAAGTCTTCAAAGTTGTCTTATCACCACCCATAGATTTTAAAGAGTTCACGTTAGTACGTAGATCATGGCAAAGTGAAATGCACCTTGGATGGCCAACTTCTTCACACTGACTAGCAGTCATTATAAAACATTTAAATCTGCCCCAGTAAAAAAAAAAAATCACTGAGGCTTCTTAACAAAAATCTCCTATGATCTTATCCTGCAAAAGGAAGAGTAATAATGAAGAATGGTAACCTGTAGCAACCAGCCCGATCCAACTTTTGCTTTAACTATTGTTAACTGAAATCTGATTGGCTGTTATGAATTGCTGACCCTTGCACATCACAGCTTTCTCCTCACTAATTAAACCTGTTAAAAATGCCTTTGCCAATAAGTGGACTGCATATAATGTATGCCCCCCCATCTACAAAAAAAAAATACTGGTTGGTGACCTTTAGCTATGAGAGTACTGTAAGTCCCAGCACACACTTCTAAACGATCAGTCTTAACATGGCCTTCTCAAGCTATCTATATCTATGGCCTGTTCAAATCACAAGTTCCAATATGTCCTGGGGGTGGGGACTGGCATCCTGAAGTCCATTCATCTGTGCTGGAACTACAAAACCATTCCTTATTCATATTACATATGCAGGCTTGCTAAGAATCCAAGGCTCACGGAATATCTTAGCAGTAAGACGGAAACCTTGTATTATGTCATAGGCGTACTGTTCAGCCCTTTACTGGAAAGGCGCGGGTTAGCGAGAGCATGTGAGCCGCTATTAATCACTTCCCCCAAGTCAAAAAGATGACACCCAACGTATAATAACTACTGCTAGGAAGAGCTGTGACTTCGCTCTGCCTTTCACTCGGCTTTTTGCTTCAGGATAAATGGAGGTTTTGCCTGGCAGATATATCATTGTTTCAATGTAATCAATACACCAAAGGAAAGCAGGCAAGGATTGTGCCTACATTGCACCTCCAGCCAGCATCTCCTACTTAAAAGGCAGTGTGGGTACCCAGCGCCTGCAAGAGCTCTTTCTCATGCAAAATGTGACAAGCACTAGCCTGCCTGAACTCAGTTACGCTGCCCATAACGTACCAGAAAGCAGTCAAATGATACTGCAGCTGCTTCACACACCAATGGAAATTTGAATTGAATTTATGACCGGAAAAGAAATCATATAACCAAATTAAAATGAGACTGCCATCCCAGAATATTTATAAGGGTATTTCGCTTTTCAACCTATACACGGCCATGCCATCCAGCCCTCAGCTGCACAGTAGGCTCATACTTTAGCTGCAGCATTTAAACAGGCCTTGGTGCTTTTTTTAATTTTCCATAAACAACCTGTTATGGGGCCAGAGGGCACAGGGGGAACTCTAATTTGCCTATAGGAGCGTGACAGCACAGCTGTGGCTTCATACAGAATGCCATTCATGACTAGGATTGTCATCCTCTCAGCTCATTCAATTTATTTTCCTTTTATTTTTCCAAAAATGGCCTGCAGTGCCCTCAGGGACCTTGAGCTAGAAGCAAATCCAGGTGTTAGAGCAGAATATCATATCGGATATAACTGTACTGACCGTTGTCTGATGGAGGTCCTATGTTTACATTCTTTCCCGAACCTCACATATTTCATAGCAGTAACTGGATAACATTGCTTGACCATCACTTGAGCAATTGCATTGTCCATTTCAATTCAGACAGAGGCGGTCTGGACCTGGACACTTGTCCAAATAAAGAGACATTTCAAATAAAACCTCACCTGGGGTGATGGAGCTAAACACCTCCATCAACACAAGTAATTATCAGCAAATGACTTCATCTACGAGTTTATGCTGTCTAGCCATAGAGTTTGAGAACTTAAAATCACCCAAAAAACCTTAGGGGGCATGTGGATATGAGCCATATTACAAGTCCCCTTGGCTTTGTCAATGTCGCAGATGCTGCAGAACTTCTTGGAAGAGTTATTAATGGTGTTTCTGATAGCATCCTACCTCTTTTGTGAGCTAGGATGGTGATTGACAGCTGCACTCACAAAGAGGTTCTGTTTCAGCAGACGTGTGTTCTACAAGTCATTCTGGCCAAAAAGGAGAAGTGCATTTCCTCAACCCTGCCTATGCCTAAAATTCAAGAAGGAGGAACACTGATGGCCTGCTATCCAAGATCCCGAGGTGAATCTAAAGCAAGTCTAAAAATACCCCGGCAGAAGACGGATCCGGCAGCACTGGCCCCTCTAGCAGTTATGGGGTAACACAACCTCTATTCTAGAGGGTTATTAGATTTTCTGCAGTGCACTGAGAACATAAAACCCAGCGATAAAGTGATTAATGGAGCAATGCCTTGTGGGTCTCTTTAGCAAGGAACAGGTCAATGGACTGGTGCCCTACAGCATTATTGCAGGGAAAGAAGTTTAACCCATTCAGGCTTCTCTGTGGTTCCCTATCCATTAAAAGGGAAGCACACAACAACGGTGGGTTCATACAGGGTGCCAGCAGTATATCCTACGCTATTCTATACCTTCCCAAAGATGACTTCAGTATTCTATAAATAATACCATGCAGTGGCGCACAAACATAATGAATATGTACATGCCTGTGTCATCCTATGGAGTATTCATACAGCCAATTGTTCGTACTACAACTGGAAAGTATCCACTTTTACCTCCAGCAATGAAAGCTTTTACATTTGACGTGAATCCTATCTCCTTTCCAGACTGAAACACATACCCTGAGAGATAATTTAACTGTCTTTGTTGTTTTTTAGACTATGCAACCCATGTAAGCTTTTAACTAAGCAAGTCATTAAAGTCAACTTACCCAAAGGGCAATATCAAAGGGGGCCCCACACCACCTCGGCACTGCCAATCAATTGTCTACAGCTGCCTTGACCAAAAAAAAAATGAAAAATGAAAAAAAAAAGAGAAAGATCCAATGATAGCCTGTGTAGTACCGGCTGATTCTTGATCCTTGTTAGTTTCCCAGATTCCAGACTGAAAGTTCGGGGGGGACTAGATTAGCTGCAACTCAGTCAGCTCGTTGCTTCCCAATGTCAGCGAAAAAAATCCAAACCTGTCAGGAAACAATTCAACAGCGAAGGTTGATGTCCAGGTCGAAAAGTCACCTAGGGACAGAGGGTCATGTGCACAGTCCCCCTGCACCCCCTGCAAGGGAATCAGCTGTGTGCTTGCAAATGAGTGCATAGAGCTTGGCATGCCCTGCTTTGCTGCTAGGTGTCAATCATTCTGTGGAATGTGTGGAGCCCAGTGTGCGTTCTCTCTATAAGGTCACTGTGAGCATCCTGCTCCTTTTTCTTTTTTTTTTACAATGGATCAAGGTCTGTCTGTTTCCCATTGTCTTGCCATGAAGACGATGATCTGTCAGTGATGAGATCTAGAAGGTTTCTGCAATTAGTGGCATTTATGTAGCAATGCTTCTTCCTCCCATCTCTCCTCCTTCCGTGCCTGCCTCTTCTTTCATATCCCTCTGAGTTTTTCCGTGTGTGTCTCTCTCTCTAGCTCGCTCGCTCTCTCTCTCTGCTCCTAAGTGTGTTACCTGCAGGATTCACTCACAAGCACCAGTTCAGCATCAGCACCAAGTCAGTGTGAAAACTCGCTCTCCTTCCATTGCATGCCTGTCCCAGCGCAGCCAATGGCTCTGAGCGTCACGCCTCCGCCACGCGGCGATTGGCCAGATCCTTCCCTGGGGCGACACTTGATTGGAAGACTTTGGGCTCTGGGCTTTAACCCTCTCGATGCTTTCCAGAGCATCGCCGTTGAACAATATCTTATAGAGGATTGCAGTAGGGGGGAGTTAGGGCTGCAGCTGCCTGGATTTACAAATCTATTAAGTCTCTTATTTCCACTTAAAGTAGCTGAGTTTGAAACCAATTGTTCTACAATCCCTGATCCTTAATGTAATAAGACACCCAGGAGATAATATATCATGTAATAACAATTCGGAGCAGCTATTCCTGCTCAACACAGGTTGTAGTGCGAAAAGGGACAGAGCAGGAAAGTGGAATGACAATTATTTCTGCGGTGCCATGTTGGAGGAAATATTGATGCGAAAACTCAGTTCTCAGTGAAGACTTTCTAGCTGCCATGGATCGGGATTATGAAGTGTTTATTGCTTAGCGATATCCTCCCACACCTTGCAATGAGCAGAGCTGCCGAGGTGATGGGAAGGTGCTTCTGGAAGGCCAGATTTTGCCTTCCAAGGACATCTGAATTAGCTTTTTATGAACTTCTTCTAATCAGACTCAAATGCTGAAACACACCCAAACCTGTCAATGATTACAGCATCGTTTCAGGACTGCTCTAGACACTTGCTGATATTGTATAAGAATTTCAAGGGACACTTGCTGCTTGGCTGATTCAAGTGGTTTACCCCTTAGCAGCACAGATTATCATAAACCCCCTGATCATTGCATGGCTATATGACCTACCTCCCAGCAGCACCCCCTGATTATTGCATGGCTATATGACCTACCTCCCAGCAGCACCCCCTGATCATTGCATGGCTATATGACCTATCTCCCAGCAGCACCCCCTGATCATTGCATGGCTATATGACCTACCTCCCAGCAGCACCCACAGATTATTGCATGGTTATATGACCTACCTCCTAGCAGCACAGATCACTATATACCCCCTGATCATTGCATGGCTAAATGACCTACTTCCCAGCAGCACCCCCTGATCATTGCATGGGTATATGACCTACCTCCCAGCAGCACCCCCTGATCATTGCATGGCTATATGACCTACCTCCCAGCAGCACCTCCTGATCATTGCATGGCTATATGACCTACCTCCCAGCAGTACCCTCTGATCATTGCATGGCTATATGACCTACCTCCCAGCAGCACCCCCTGATCATTGCATTGCTATATGACCTACCTCCCAGCAGCACCCCCTGATCATTGCATGGCTGTATGACCTACCTCCTAGCAGCACCCCCTGATCATTACATGGCTATATGACCTACCTCCCAGCAGCACCCCCTGATCCTTGCATTGCTATATGACCTATCTCCCAGCAGCACCTCCTGATCATTGCATGGCTTTATGACCTACCTCCCAGCAGCACCCCCTGATTATTGCATGGCTATATGACCTACCTCACAGCAGCACCCCCTGATCATTGGATGGCTATATGACCTACCTCCTAGCAGCATAGATCACTATATACCCCCTGATCATTCCATGGCTGCATGACCTACCTCTCTGAAGCACCCACAGATTATTGCATGGTTATATGACCTACCTCACAGCAGCACCCCCTGATTATTGCATGGCTATTTGACCTACCTCCTAGCAGCACAGATCACTATATACCCCCTGATCATTGCATGGCTAAATGACCTACCTCCCAGCAGCACAAATCACCATATGCCCCCTGATGCATGATTATTATATGGGCTGATTCATGTGACTTACCTCCTTGTAGCACAGCTCACAGTATACCCCCTCATTATTGCACGGTTATAATATGGGCAAATTCATGTGACTTACTTCCTACCAATTGTCTTGAGTTTCTCTTTGAGAAAATCCTGCTTCAGCTTTTTTACATACCTTTTTCATCTCAGTGTTGCTGATCTCCTTCAGCCTATTTGCAGCCACTTCATGTCTACATGCGTCACATCTCTGCCCTGATGAAGGGACCCTGCGTGGTCCCGAAACGTTGGATTATGCGATATGTGTGACGTTTAGTCAAAATAAATGGACTTTTTTTTAATTTAATTTACGGAGTGCTGGTGATTTCTATTGTTCATTGACATGATAACAACACTGAAGAGTAGACAGGGACACAGAGCATTTTAATGCTTGGTCGCTGTATAACAGGAAGTGTCTGAATAATAAGTGTCATGGCAGGGTCACATTGTATTATTTCATTGAAATCTGCAGATTTAAAAACTGAACCCAAAGTCATAACACGATCGTGCACGCGTGCTGCAACGTAACGCGCATGCGTGATGACATCACGGCGGGGTGTCACCCGGTCTTCACTCTTGGTGACACCCAGCCTCGGGACGCCCCTGCCCAAAGTGCACCCGTCATGAGAACAATATGGGGCAGCCATTGTTCAACTCCTTCTGAAAATTCAACTTGACTGGTTGCTACGGTGACCTTCTGTATTATATTATTTTTGAGTCACTGACCTTGAAGAGGCAGACAGGTCAGGATGAAGAAAAGTCCTTATCTACATATTTGTACTATTTTGTACTTCGAGAAGGGAGAAGGAAGGAGGATGTAGGGAGGGGGAAGTAGCTTGACTTGCTATGCTTGGGAAGACACACACAGCTCACTAGCACAAACAAGGTGGCTCCATAGGACCCTTGAATGTAAAGGAGATGCCCTAAAACAGGATATCAGGACCAGTGACCAGTTAATTGGCATTTCAAACAGCCTAAAAAATATTTAGACTTTATTATACCTTTAAACGGAAACAAATAATCTAATCTACAGAGGACATAAGGAAGCTTAGACCTGATTTTCAGAACGTTGTCAGTGTTATGGGCAGTGTACAACCATAGTGACCAGTCATTACCCACTTGGATATTCTTCAGGTTGGGTGGTAAATCCAGCTACACCTTCCTGTGTATGAGGATACCATGAGGAATGTTGTAAGAAAGGAGATGATCAAATCCAATGGAATACTTTGGGGGCTGTCAATATCGATGTACACTGCAATTCCCGTGTTTCACCACGGCACACAACATTCACCCTTTTTAAAGAGACACTAAACTCAGGAGTTAAACCTTAAAAATGAATTCAAGTACCCTGATTATTAAAGTTAGATCCTCAAATCATCTCTGAATAGGTGCTGACACTGTCCTTCCTTCTGGAGGGTAATTAATTTTCTTCCCCATGCTCCCTGTGTGTGTTGTAAAGTAGTCACCTCTCCAATCTTACTCCCGTGATGGACTACAATTTCAATACATATTAGTAAACTAAACGTGAGATTGTAGTCCATCACTGGGGCAAGCTTGGGGCGGGGACTACTTTACAACACACACAGGGACCATGGGGAACAAAAGTAGCCACCCTCCAGAAGGAAGGACATGAAAATAATTTGGCATGTAGAGGAACATGGTGATGGGGTTGTTAAAAAATTACACACCTCGGCTGACAAATATTCTAGCTATGATCCTGACAAAATCTAAAAAAGATGAATGTGAATAGGGAGGTCCAAAGTGTGCATCCTATACTCAAAAAGACATAAATGCAAACGGAAATCGTCATGCTTTTAGGTTGTCTTCTCTCTCTTAAGCTAGCCATACAAGGCTAGATTTCTGTTGTTCTGCCTCAATTTTTCCATCCACGCTAATCAGCATAGATGGAAAAAATCTTCTCTGCTGGCTATTGTATTCAGACAACTGGCACCTGCAGCTGTCTTAATATATGAACAGGGACTAAAACTGTTTGCCAACTGACTCCTTAGATTTTTCAGTCGAAGTTTGTCAAGCCGGGTGGTGCCAACAAGGAGACTCACAGCTGGATTTTCAACTGACTCAGAAAGTCTTAGTTGAATTTGAACAGTGCATGGCTAGCCATACCCTGATAACCGGCTGTAGGTGCTGGCCAACCATAGCCTTATGGTAAACACGACCCTGCCTATTTTAGGTCTCTTTCGGTGTAAAGCTTAAAAAAGAACACATCTTGAAATGAAAAGTACAATTTAACTCCTGGTATGTAAGTGCTTTCCTACAGTATGCAAAATATTAGTCATTTTGTTCTAGCTGTTGAATTGCTGTATTTTTTTTATGGAAAAGTACTTAAGCTGTGAGAAACAGAACAGACAATAAGCATTTCCTTTGGGTTTTAGACAGCTGCTTCCATTATGTAGTTTTTCCGTTCTATTCTGCCTTGCTTTTCTGCATGGTAAACATGTAGTTTTAAGATAATTATACTGCCCATCATGTAATGCCTCCAAATTGGGTTGTCTTTTTATTTTCTGCAAGCTGGTAATGGGACGAGGACCTGCTTATCATGGAGAAGGTGTAGTCGCTCTTAGAGCAATGTGCTTAGAGATGCTGTAGCAACATTATAATGCCTTGCACATGGGCTAATTCAATGCCCTTTAATAGTCAACAGAAAATATTCAACAAGGATAATTGAATTAACCCCTGTACTGGATAGGATGAAAGAACTTGTGCAATACCTTAGGAAGGTCACCTTCACTTATGACCAAAATAAGTACTCTTCCAAGAAATGTTATTTATATGGTCTGAAGACACATTAAAAGGAAAATAAACCATGTTGTTTTCAAACAATACAAAATGACAAAGCTTCTACTATATAATGTTTCTTTAATGTAAACATATCTTGACACATGTTATCAATTTGTTCATATAACCTGAACTGACACTTAACTCAGGAGTTAAAGAAGAACTATGAGGTGAGTGAAAATCACTCATCCTCATAGTTCGAGCCAACAATGCAACTGTCACACGTCGGCTCAATCCTCCCATGACCCAAAGCTCAGTATATAGTAAACTACAGCTCGCTATATACTGAGACCGAGCCAGCTGTGCCCGCCCCCTTCCCCTGTCCATTCCTCCACTCAGCACTTTAGGATCGTAGAGGGGAGGGGGGAA